GTTCAGTGCATTTGAAAAAATCTGGAAACCTTTTCAAAATGGCTGAATAAATTTAAAATCTAATAAAGAACTGAAAGTATTCAATCAACAAAATTACTAAAACCCGATTATAATACTGTGGAGAGTTCTAAAGTTTTATGTGACTTGCCGTCACTTGATCTCCTGAAATAATCATCAAATCTGTGTATCATGAAAATACAAATCATGATTAAGTTGCTAATTAATCAAATAATTAATTTAGTAATTAATTAAATATGCATTTATTTCGCTAAACCTATCCATTCTGGCCATTACATTTTGTGTTTGTCTTTATATGAACTCCTTACAGAAATATGTAAAAAGTTTGGATAAGCCAGCGAGTTTGTATCGCTTGTTCATGTACAATCGCTTGTGTGCTTATAACAAATTTATGACGCCATATTTACAAATTTATTTTTTTAATTTATTTATTAATAGGAATAATGATAACGACCATTATTATTTTTTTTAAATTGATCCTTCTTTCCACTTCTACTCTTATGTCTTCCCTTGTTTCTTGTTACCATTTCTGCTTTCTATTTATGATGTCTTTTATGAGTTTTCTGCTTTATTATTGTCCACCACATATGTACGCCTGATTTCTGGTATATTTTGTGTAAAATTGAATCAGAGGAAAAACTAAATATATACCTGTACATTTCATACGACCGTATTCACATAAATGGACAATTGTGGGTGTAGTGCATATTTCATATGCGCCAAAATCAGCGGCAGCGTTTTTATGTTTTGCAAAACACCAGCAACTTTGTTTTGCGGCATGTTATTAATTCTATACCTCCACCTCCCCACAAAAAATGACCCTACAACCCTTCTGTTATGGATATCCACGCTAACAAGTTTCCTCCATTTTTTTTTACTCCAATTAATTTCATTTTTTTTCTTTCAATTAAGAAAGTCTGAGGAATAAATTCTGAAATTTCGTCTTCTTTTTTGCTGAGTCCCCCATTGTCGGTTGTTGGCGGCGGCGGCAGATCAAACAAATTTAACGAACCTAACTTGTCTAATTATCATCCTTACCTCCATAAGCAGTCGGATATTCAGAAACAACTAAATACAAATCGCCAGGTGTTGAGACACTGAAATAGATAGATAGATAGATAGATAGATAGATAGATAGATAGATAGATAGATAGATAGATAGATATGAACAAAGTGGGAGAGGTAGAAACAGATACAGGTAAATTGAAACAGACTGAGATGCATACAAACGCTACTTGACAAATCAAATGCACACGAAGCCTGCTTAATCAACACAAAAATAAAAAATACCGGAAACTTTTTTTATCTATATCTCATTCTCTGATGAAGATTTAATATTTAGATTTTCAAACGTTTCCTATTTGTTCTTTATCCTGTCATTCTGTTTGATCTGTATTTGATATATATATATATATATATATATATATATATATATATATATATATATATATATATATATATATATATATATATATATATATACTGACACGGAAAAGAATTGGACATTTTCTTTTTAAGAAAGTAATAATTGCTATTAGTGCTATTAACTTAAAATTTGGACTGAATAAGAAATCTTACGATATTCAATGTATAAGAAGAAATAAAGAAAGGCTTGCCAATGCATAACTTTATTGACAAATACAAAAGGTAGTAATATGCAAATGGTTTGGACATATTCCGAAAATATAGAGGAATTTGGATAAAAATTGCAGTTTGGGATTGACCTCTGTTCAAATTATTAATTCACAAATTTGCCTAGTGTCATGGCCGACAACTTATAACTTTTACGTATACTCTAACTTGTGTGTTTGATATGTACTGAGAATTTTAGAATGGCGAAGAGAGGGACGCTCTTTCAAAAGTGTTGGCCATCATAGCTGTGGAATGGAATTTTTTTTTACAGTAAGGTTCACCCTGTACAAGGCCCGGGGGCACACGAGGTAGAGGGTTACGTTGAAGGGAAGTTTATATGGATGGGAGGAGATAACATTTAACTCCAGACTTGAACAGGTTAAGATTGTAGTGAACGGGGAAATATCTTCTTGGGAGTCTATTCCACAGGGAAAAGAAGCTATTTGAGTGGAATTTACTTCTCCCCGATAGAATCCCTAAAATGTAAATGATCTTAAGACAAGTTACCAAAAGGTAAAAAGATAAAATTGGTTTTATTTTCTACAAGCTTACCTCAGATTATTGCAAATGCCTGGCAATCGTTATATCAAATAATGTGTTAGTCACCAAATATTGTATGTTGTTTATTGATATGTACCCAAAACTTTTGTATCTTACTTACTGTTGTATTGGTCAATAAATTTATGAGTAGACAAACATTTCTTTATTTCTTATTCTACACAGCTTATGACAAGCATTTAATGTATTCGAGTCAAGTTTTAGCAATAATAAAAATTATTTTCTTAAAAACCTTATATCCAATATTTTTTACATTTCACTATATATGTGTGTGTATTTGTGTACGTATACTCTGATAATAGTAGCAGCAGCAGGAGGAGGAGGTGTTAAGGTGATCGTGTGCATTGTTAGGGAAAACAAAGAAATAGAATTTGAAACAAATCATTTTTTTTTCATAGCAGAGATTATTTTTCTAAAACTGATCTCAATTAAAAAAAATTTCACAAAATTCTAATTACCGTTTTTTTGTTTTCTTTTTTAATCTTTTAACAAATTATTTTTAATTTTTAATAGGCTGAACTATAAAAATTTATTGAGGAAACAGTTAATTAAAATTAGTTACGCTATGAGCCTGTGTTTTTTCGGTTAAAATTCTAAACCTCCAGATCATTTTGGAAATATCTATCAATAGAAAAAATACAAGTAAACATGCATTTGTTCACATTTTGCGTAAAGAAAAGTCAGAGAAAATGATATATATATATATATATATATATATATGTGTGTGTGGACACTGAGGTCACACCTAGTGGTGACAGTCTGTTTCATACTTGAACGCAATATTCAAATATTCAGACCGTTGTTGTCATATATATATATATATATATATATATATATATATATATATATATATATATATATATATATATATATATATATATATATATATATATATATATATATATATATATATATATATTACTTCAAATATTATTATGATAGATACTTTTGTATTTGAAATAGACATCCCATTTTATTTATTAAACAGTGTGTATTACGTCTATCATCATTCGAATTTGAGAAATCTTAGTAAAAAAAGTGGGGACGCAGGTTCGATCCATGTCGGGGAAAGCATTTTCTTTACTAAGAATGTTTCGAATGCGCGGGTCGATAGATTTAATACACACTGTTTAATAAATAAAAATAGGGCGTCTATTTCAAATACGAAGTATCCACTATAATAACGTTTGAAGTAATAAAAAATGTCAAACTAAAATTAAATACATTAATCCTTTACACACACACACACACACACACACATATTTGTAGGATCTTGCTTTCTATTTGTTCCCATGGAAACTACAACAGGTACAGTGAACACGGTAAAACCGCTGGTTAGAGCAAGTTTTCAGCTACCAAACACTATTTCACATAGTCATCAGCATTGTCGAAGCATTTTCGTCATCAATGAAAATGAGATTGCATGCCGCAAATGTTTTCACCAGCAAAGACAATAGAACTTTTCACACAAATCGTTATTGTCCCTGCTAAAATGCATTACTAACTGTGCTCACATCCAATGTTTGGTCTCTGTAAAGATTCAGAAACCATGTCCATGGGTATCATTTTTTTCTATATAAAATATTTGATATCACGACACTATTTGGTGCGAACTTTCATGGTGGATTCAGTCTTGTCAGGCTGCTCCTTATCTCCTATCTGTAAGAAAGCAATGACAATTTAGGGGCTAAAATAATGAAATAGGAAGAATTACTTTCAGAGCGACCTTCGTATACATGAACATTTTTCGTTTTAACATAAATACTATATTTTCTGTGATTTTCTTAAACGCATGCACACGCACAAAATGTGTTTTTTCTTGGTGAAGCGAAAAACACCATATAATGAAAAAAAAACTGTTCTAAGTGAGGGTTTGAAATAATGTATATTAAAGAAGAATCATTTTAAGTTAAAATATATAGGCCTACTTCTCGGCACGGGGCGTGGGTAACCTCGTACAGGTGAATCACAGAGTGTCTAAATGATCACGTCTTTTAATTTTTAGTATATTTTAATGATTTCCAGTTGATCACATATTTATAACTAATCTTAACAGCTTAATAAAAACGTGGTGTAATGGTTGGCAGATATGCCTCGCTAGATCAAATACGACTGAGTATTGGGTCCGATTCTCATTGGGCGCCCAATACTTTCAGCCTTGTGCCACATCTAAGTTGCGCTTAGAAAATCATTTGGACACTTCGACGTGGAGTAATAATTAGCAGGCTTGCCTCGCTAGATCAATTACAATTGAACAGTGAGTTCGATCTTCACTGATTGCTCCACACCTTCGGCCTTAAACCACATCTAAGTTACGTCTAGAAAAACCTTCTGTCTCACTAGATCATTACGACTGAGTAGTGAGTTCGATCCTCACTGGGTGCCCCATATTTAGACCTTGTGCCACATCTAAATTACGCTTAGAAAATCATTTGGGCACTTTGACGTAATGGTTAACAAACTTGCCTCACTAGAAAAATTGCTACTGAGTAATGAGTTCGATTCTCACAGGATGCACCATAGTTTTAACCTGCTACATTAAAGCTAGATTTAGAAAATTATTTGAGCACTTCGACGTGGTATAATGCTTAGCAAACTTGTCTCGCAAGATCAGTTACTACTGAATAGTGAGTTCGATCCTCACTGGGCGCCCCATATTTTCGGTCTTGTGCCACATCTAAGCTAGGCTTAGAAAATCACATTTACAGATTGATGAAGAAGCGTGGATAAGTGGTAACAGAAAAAAAAAACAACTATTTGAATATCAACTTCTAACATGATGGGCTAAAGGGCATATCGCGTTGAAACACCGGCTCACGTACAATCATCGTAGTTAAGCAACGTCGAGCCTAGTCAGTACCTCGATGGGTAACTACTTGGGAATACCAGATGTTATAAGCTTAGATGTGCGGGTGGTGTGACTGATAATGGGTTTTAATTCGAAACCAGAGAGCCGAATTCCAATGCCAGTTCGATTCGCTATATTCACTTACGTGTAAATCCTTTTTGCAAAAGTATGAAGCCGCCTCTTCTCTCCCAACTATGGGTTAAATAGTAGGAAATTTGTATCAGTAAATAAATATTATCTCCAAAAATTCATAAAATCTAAAATTATTTTGTGGCTTTAAATAACCTGCAAAAGTTTGATAAACTGTAAAGAACAAATAAATCAATCTAAAATAATGTTTTAGTCTGACTTAAAATCGACTGACCGTAGCTTTGGTATGTTTAGCTTGTTTCGACATTGTATTTGTATTCTGTTTATTTCAGATTGATTATAAAATTACTATATGCTTATTAATATAAAATGCCTGGAATGGAGATGAAATTAAAGTAAAGGAGATTTCCAGAGTTTCAATGTAATAATAAAACGAAACCTGACTTTGATAAAGAGGAAGAGATGAACCAGACACCTAAAGACGTAGTGGAGAGCAATGAACGACCCTGGCAAGCATAGAAGAAGTTTTCATTCTGAAATCATCCATCATTGGGATTTAATTCATGTGAAACAATTCAATAGCATTTCATTCATTGCTGAGAATACGCAAAAGACAAGAAAACGAAAAAGATAGAGGGGGGTGGGACGAGGAAGAGAGAGAGAGTGGGGTGGGACGAGGAAGAGAACGAGAGAAATGGGGGGATGGACCTATTTTGGGAGCAGAAAGAAACACTGGGAGAGCAGGAAAGTAGCCAAAAGTATTTTGTTCAGTTTCTATCAGAAGCAGAATTCAAACACTATCAACAGGATTTCTCTCTTTTCAATCCAACTGCCAGTCACCCTACGACCATGACTCCTTTAATATAGAGGCCCTATAATATCCTAACTTTTTAGAAGTGATATTAATAGATACATATTAATTTAACAGTAACATCTTTAATGCTATTTTAATTTTGTTCACTGTTTTCTTTCTTTGTTGAGGTTTCAAATGTTGTCTAGAAATAATAATAATAATAATAATAATAATAATAATAATAATAATAATAATAATAATAATAATAAGAGACGCGGTTGGGATTATTTTTTTTTTTTTTTTTTTTTTACGCATATGAAATTTTGATTATTTTACAAAGTATTTTAACGTAAGGGAAATTTTCCTTCGTATTATTATTATTTAATTTATTTGTTTCTCCTTTAAATGATAATGCCATTTTTAATTTTTCTTAACCCTTTTTCAATATCCCCCAAAAAACAAAAAACATGACAGGTCCTTTCTACGATATTCTTTCTTAGAAGGACCAACAAAACGCTATTTTCAACGACTTTGAAAAAAGGGTAACGGAAAGAAATAAATTATTCTTAAACGCCAAAATCAAAGAAAATAAAAATAATAATAAAAAAAAATAATAATAATCTAGCAACTAAATTAAAGAGTTCAAAATTTTTTTTTTCATTTTACAATTTTAATTGGTAACATTTTATTTTTTATTTTTTCTAGACTTTAATTATTTAATTTTTCTCATTCACATATCCCTTAGTTTTCAATTTAACAAATTTCACGATGTTCTTTCTTAGAAGGATTGATTTTTTTTTTTTTTTTTTTTAAACAACGCTATTTTCAACGACTTCTTTTACATTTACATATAGTGAACTAATTTTTTTTAAATTTCACAGAAAGACAAACAATGTAAACCTTTTTTTTTTTTTTTTTTAACACAAACACGACATACTGAATATGAATTTATGAAAAGAAAATACAGATTAACGGATATCGGCAAACAATGTAAAATTCCGACTTTAAAAATAACGTTAGTCTGTTGCGTTCAATTTACAGATGGGGGAAGACAAACGAATGAAAATTTTTTTTTTTTTTTTTTTTTTAAACAACGCTCCCTTTAAAAAAAATAACCCCGAATTTATGAAAAGAAATGCAATCTTTTCTATGGATTTAATGATGGCCAATAAATTATTTTTAAATTTCACAAAGACAAACGAATAGATTGAGCTCTTTATTGTTGCTTGGCAACCTTTAGAGAAGGAAAACTCCGATGGTAACCAGTCTCAGAGAAAGAAAACTGAATTCTGAACTGTGGAGAAGGCAATGAGAAACAACTACATTATCTTTCCCAGAAAGTCATGTTAATTCACGGATAATAATGGAAAAGAATATGTGGAGGCTCTTAATCTTTTACCTTCTGAAGGGACATGGCATTATAAAACTGCAACATAATATAACTATATATCTTTTTAAATCATCTATAATATATGGGTCGTTAATGTTTACAATATGCTATATAATTATAGATTGTATTTGTTCATTATTTGAGAAGACTGAGATAGATAGATAGATAGATAGATAGATAGATAGATAGATAGATAGATTTATTTGATGTGAACAGACTGATATAGATTGATTTATTGATTGATTGATATGAACAGTCTGATATAGTTATATAGATAGATATGATGCGATCAGCCTAATATAGATAGATTGATATATAAACAGACTGAATATAGATGGATAGATACATACATACATACATATGATATATATAGAATATTGAAGAACGAGAATAACTCTTAGATACAACCATAGATAGATAGATAGATAGATAGATATGATATCATATGATATGATATCCTATGATATGATATATGTTCAGAGTTAGATACTAGTGTATGATCATACTGTAGATATTTTTATTCTTCATCTCTCTCTCTCTCTCTCACACACACACACACACACACACACACATAGACAGAACAAGATCTTTCAAACTCAAAGAAAATTTTACAGGGAAATATCCATTCTAAGAAGTTATACCTATCTTCCTCCTATTTCTTCTCTATGTGTGTATGTGAGTGTGTGCATTAGCGTGTATGTATGTCCATATATATATTAATTTGCATTTTTTACATTAAGCCTCAAATAGAGAAAGATGCTGTTGATGTCAAATATTTGTAACTGCGAACTACAATAAAAATGACGCCAAGAAGCAATAAAGATATGTTTTTTAAAAATGTTAAGCGAAAAGTTCACCTTTTAGATATTTTTTTCTTGCGCAAAACGTGGTTTTTTCTTTTTTACTAAATACGAGTAACACCTCATTTTTACCGATCGACCCGCACCTTTCAGAATGTAATAAAAGAAAAAAATTCAAAGTAGGCAGAAACGAAGTAATACAGCAACTCTTGCTTTTAGATATTTCCCTCAAATAGAAGACAGGTTAGTGCGGATGTCTATAATTTAACAATAGACTAATTACAGTGATCGCCATTGCCGCTTGGAGAGGCGCGTCAGAAAGATGCGCCTGAGTATTTAATACAGTAATTATAACAGTAATCCCGGAAACTGGAGCAGACTGTTCCGGATATACACCACAAAAGGCCGATGGTATGGTACAAACGCTTGATTCAACAATCGAGGAAGAATTATCTCCCTTTTAGATGCTATCTTCATGTCTAGAGGTGTTCTGCGAGAAAAATTGCCACCAGGTGGAAGACTTGACTGATGTCGCAAAGTCTGAAGGATAAATTAGGGCGGAAAGATTTGAAAGGGAAAATAGTTAAGTGAGGACATCTTTTTTCACTATTTATTCTAAATATCTTTCTCTTGCTTCTCGTCGTTTTTTTTAATTTTTTTTTTCATTCCTTCTTGTTTATTTCGGCATTTGACACTATCCTTTGGTCTTCCGCTCTCTTTTTCCTCTTCTCGTTTTCATCTTCACTTTTCTTCTCTTCGTCTTCGATTTTCTTTCCTCTTAATAGCTTTTCCTATTTTCATTTTTGTCTTTCCTTTTCACCTCTTCTTATTCGCTCTCTTATTTTTTTCCTTTTCTATTATCTTTCACCAATTCTCTTTCCTTCTTGTGAATGAAAGAGAGTAGTCGTGGGTGAATAACTCGAGACATGTACGCAAATGCTCATGTTTTTTCTCGAACAATTAATCAAAAACAAACAAAAATGTTAAATTTGGTTACAACACGAAATATGAAGACATTGAACCGTCGTATTCCTATTTTATCTATTTGAATTATAACAATGACTGTCATATATATATATATATATATATATATATATATATATATATCCGAACCTCAGAGTAGTTCAGATATGACTAGTTCAACTTAACAAAACACAAGAACATATTGCAATATATGAAAAATGAAATGTCTCACGAAAGTAAATATTAACTTGCAATGTTTAATGTTCAATAAGTTTTAATTTCAATTGTCTTTCTTATTTCTTTTCTCATTTTGCTTACTTTTCGCTGTTCGGGTTTTTTTTTAAAATTTCTGAAAATTACATGCACTTGTACATTCTGTACTGAAGAAGAAAGATTATTTCTCCATGAATTTGATGACCTCATCAATATCTTTCTCTACTGAGTCCCAGTCTTCTTCATCATCCTTCATATTTTCACTGTTATTGGAAATATTTGATTTTTCCTCTATTTTTAACATTCCAAATCATTTGAAAGATTCTACCATGCCTGAGAAGTTCGGATATGAGGATGTTTGGATGCACTCATGATATGAGTGGACACAATTCAGGGTTCCTGAATGAGAAGAAGTGAAAATTATGAGGATTAGGAGGATAGATAGCAATGGACCCTTGACTTGAAAAAGTTAAGATAGTGTAGTGTCCAGGGTTGCATCTACGCGAAATTTTGTTCCAAAAAGAAGCCGTTCTTGGGAGGAAAAGCTGTCTAGGTGAAACTTCTTCCTTACAATTTAAATATATTAGTAACTAACACAAGGGAACTTGCACATGCCCATGTATGCACGCACACACATGCACAAAGAAGGCAACATCAGTTTCACAATATAAACACATACAAATCCTTCCTCTTGAAATTCTTTATATATGTAACTATACAAGTATATCGTTTATATTCCTATTTTTCTTTTTATTGGCCTACATTTCATTTCCTTTGTCTGTTCACACACACATACACAC